AAATTGCCAAAACCAGAAAGCCTCTTCTCCTCCAAAGGATTACAGAGATTGAAGATCAACTTAATGAAATGAAGCATGAAGATGAGATTAGAGAAAAAGGAATGAAAAGGAACAAAAAAAAAAGGCTCCAAGAAATATGGGACTATGTGAAAAGAACAAACCTATGTTTGATCGGCGAACCTGAAAGTGATGGGGAGAATGGAACCAAGTTGGAAAACACACTTGACGATATTATTCAGGAGAACTTACCCAACATAGCAAGGCAGGCCAACATTCAAATTCAGGAAATAGAGAGAACACCACAAAGATACTCCTCGAGAAGAGCAATTCCAAGACACATAATTGTCAGATTCACCAAGGTTGAAATGAAGGAAAAAATGTTAAGGGGAGCCAGAGAGAAAGGTCAGATTACCCACAAAGGGAAGACCATTAGACTAACAACAAATCTCTCTGCAGAAATCCTACAAGCCAGAAGAGAGTGGGGCCAATATTCAACATTCTTAAAGAAAAGAATTTTCAAACCAGAATTTCACATCCAGCCAAATAAAACTTCATAAGCAAAGGAGAAATAAAATCCTTTAGAGACAAGCAAATGCTAAGGGATTTTGTCACCATCAGGCCTGCCTTACAACACCTCCTGAAGGAAGAACTAAATACAGAAAGGAAAAACTGGAACCAGCCACTGCAAAAACAAACCGAAATGTAAAGACCATTGACACTATAAGAAACTGCATTAACTAATGGGCAAAATAACCAGCTAGCATCATAATGACAGGATCAAATTCACACATAACAATATTAACCTTAAATGTAAATGGGATAAATACCACAATTAAAAAGCCATAGACTGGCAAATTGGATAAAGAGTCAAGACCCATCAGTGTGCTGTATTCTGGAGACCCATCTCATGTGCAAAGACACACATAGGCTCAAAATAAAGGGATGGAGGAAGATTTATCAAGCAAATGTAAAGCAAAAATAAGCAGGGGTTGCAATCCTACTCTCTGATAAAACAGACTTTAAACCAACAAAGATCAAAAAAGACAAAGAAGGGAATTAAATAATGGTAAAGGGATCAATGCAACAAGAAGAGCTAACTATCTTAAATATATGTGCACCCAATACAGGAGCACTCAGATTCATAAAGCAAATTCTTAGAGACCTACATAGAGACTTAGACTCCTACACAATAATAGTGGGAGACTTTAACAACCCACTTTCAATATTAGACAGATCAACGAGACAGAAAACTAACAAGGATATTCAAAACTTGAACTCAGTTCTGGACCAAGCGGACCTAATAGACATATATAGAACTCCATCCAAATCAACAGAATATACATTCTTCTCAGCACCACGTAGCACTTATTCTAAAATCGACCACATAATTGGAAGTAAAACACTCCTCAGCAAATGCAAAAGACCAGAAATCATAACAGTCTCTCAGACCACAGTGCAATCAAATTAGATCTCAGGATTAAGAAACTCACTCAAAACCGCACAACTACATGGAAACTAAACAACATGCTCCTGAATGACTACTGTGTAAATAATGAAATTAAGGCAGAAATAAATAACTTCTCTGAAACCAATGAGAACAAAGATAAAAAGTACCACAATCTCTGGGACACAGCTAAACCGGTGTGTAGAGGGAAATTTATAGCACTAAATGCCCACAGGAGACAGCAGGAAAGATCTAAAATCGACACCTTAACATCATAATTAAAAGAACTAGAGAAGCAAGAACAAACAAATTCAAAAGCTAGCAGAAGACAAGAAATAACTAAGATCAGAGCAGAACTGAAGGTGATAGAGACACAAAAAATCCTTCAAAAAATCCATGAATCCAGGAGCTGGTTCTTTGAAAAAAAATAACAAAATAGATAGACCTCTAGCCAGACTAGTAAAGAAGAAAAGAGAGAAGAATCAAATAGACACAATAAAAAAAGATAAAGGGGAGATCACCACTGATCCCACAGACATACAAACTACCATCAGAGAATACTATAAATACCTCTATGCAAATAAACTAGAAAATCTGGAAGAAATGGATAAATTCCTGGACACATGCACCCTCTGAAGACTAAACCAGGAAGAACTCGAATCCCTGAATAGACCAATAACAAGTTCTGAAATTGAGGCAGTAATTAATAGCCTACCAACCAAAAAAAGTTCAGGACCAGATGGATTCACAGCCGAGTTCTACCAGAGGTACAAAGAGGAGCTTGTACCATTCCTTCTGAAACTATTCCAAACAATAGAAACAGATGAGCTCCTCCCTAACTCATTTTATGATGCCAGCATCATCCTGACACCAAAACCTGGCAGAGACACAACAAAAAAAGAAAATTTCAGGCCAACATCCTTAGTGAACATCAATGTGAAAATCCTCAATAAAATACTGGCAAAACGAATCCAGCACCACATTAAAATGCTTATCCACCACAATCAAGTCAGCTTCATCCCTGGGGTGCAAGGCTGGTTCAACACACACAAATCAATAAATGTAATCCATCACATAAACAGAGCTAATGACAAAAGCCATATGATTATCTCAATAGATGCAGAAAAGGCCTTTGATAAAATTCAACACCCATTAATGCTAAAAACACTCAATAAACAAGGAATTGATGGAACGTATCTCAAAATAATGAGAGCTATTTATGACAAACCCACAGCCAATATCATACTGAATGGACAAAAGCTGGAAGTATTCCCTTTGAAAACTGGTTCAAAACAAGGATGCCCTCTCTCAACACTCCTATTCAACATAGTATTGCAAGTTCTGGCCAGGGCAATCAGGCAAGAGAAACCAATAAAGTGTATTCAAATAGGAAGAAAGGAAGTCAAATTGTCTCTGTTTGCAGATGACATGATTGTATATTTAGAAACCCCATGGTCTCAGCCCATAAACTCCTTAAGCTGATAAGCAACTTCAGCAAAGTCTCAGGATACAAAATCAATGTGCAAAAATCATAAGCATTCTTATACACAAATAATAGTCAAACAGAGAGCCAAATCATGAGCAAACTCCCATTCATAATTGCTACAAAGATAATAAAATACCTAGGAATCTAACTTAAAAGGGATGTGAAGGACCTCTTCAAGGAG